GCACGCCGGGCAGCAGGTGAGGGTCTTGGTTGATGCGATCCAGTGCGAAAAGCATGGCCTCCAGGCGCTGAATGCCACGATGCTCATTGACAGGACCACATTCTTCTGCTGGGCCACCCTTCTGGTGCACTGGGAATAGCCCACCCAGTACCAGGTCACCCTCCAGGGTCAGCACCTTCTTGGCTGGGCCCTCAGCCACAGCACCCCACAGCAGCAGCAGTGCCAGGAGCCCAAGCAGCGATCCCATGGTCCCAAAGGGGATAGAGGGTCCAGCAGACCTGGGTCTCCAGGAGACGAGGGTAGAAGCAGTAAAGGCAAAGAGAGGAGGGAACAGGGGCCAGGGAAGGACAGACAGGAAGAGAGATGAGAAGGGACCCAGCTCCTGCAGAGATAGACAGATGGACAGACAGACAGATCGACAGACAGACTGGGAAAGTGGAACCTGAGAACAGCTGCCCCCATTTTTTCCAGCTTCCCCTTCTGACTCCACTTCTTCCCACACATCTTTTCCAAGTACCCAGGAGCCAAGGAGAAAGTAGTACCACTCTGCTGAGAAGGTCCTGGGACACTCCCCCCAATCCCATCTGTCTCTCAACCTTACCCTTATCTGGGGTGGAGATGGGCCCCATGCACCTACCAAATGCTGCAGAGGGGGAGGGAGGCAGGGAGTGGAAGCCCAAGAGAGGACAGGAGACTCCAGCAATGCCAAGCCCTGTGAAAGTTAAAGGGTGTCCAAAACCCTGCACAAAACCTCACAGAACCCCAGGCCAAGTCAGAGTTAGAAACTCAGAGTTCTAGTCCTCATCCTGAGCCTTGGATTTCAGAGAGGAAGAACTGCTATCTGGGTATCTACCATAGAAGAGGAGGAAAGAATCTATTAAGGATGGTCTTCAACCATGGAAACGAAAACCAGCTGAACACCCAGAGGCCTTGCCCTCTTGTTCTTAAAAACTCACCTCCAGAGTCTCCTATGAAAGAACACTGAAGCAGCAAGGTAATGAGGCTGGCCCCAAGGGAGGCACCCAGTGGCTACAGGTTCTAAGTCAGCAGGGAAAGCAACAGTGACAGCTGCATGTGTCATGGGTGGGCAGAATCTTCCAACACTGCCGAGGTTGAGTCCTGGACTCCCCAGCTCCATGTTAGTGCAGTCTGAGACTGTGCTTATGTTTTCTCCTCACTCCAAACACAGCAGAGAAAGTCACTATTTCTGGACTGCACAGCCTCAGCCTCAGGGACTGCCCATTCTGACCCTGGCCCTCAGCCCCCACCTTCTGCTCTGCATCCTATAATCAGGATCTCAGCTGCCTTCCCAAACATCCACCCCACACATGCTCTTACAATCACGCAGGCTTGGCAAGGTTGGAAGAAAAACACACATCTTCCCTCAGAGCAGGAAAGGAAACTGAGGCTCAAGAGGATAGCAACTAGTTTAAGGACTCCATGTCCTGGCTGCAGAGAGGCCGGGCTCCCCACTTTTCCCCCTCAGTTCCCCAGACCTCCCACTGGAGCCTGGGCAGGGGCACTGGGATGCTGAAGAAGCAGGAGAGAAGCGGCTAAGGAGAGAGAAGCAGGGATGGGGACCAGCACAGATGGGGCAGGGACCCAGATGAGGCAGGGCACAAGGGAGGCCCCCATAGAAGCTCGGATGCAGAAGAGGACAGAACCGGGGGGCAGCCAGCTAGGGTGCAGGGCCATAAAATGTGGTCAAGGGGCAAGCAAGCTGGGAGGCTGAGACAAAGACGGAGGCACAGTCAGCAGGACCAGGGGACGCTGAAGCGGGAGGACCTAGGGAGTGCCATGCAGGGCGTGCGTTCTCTGGGGAAAGGCGGGACACCCGGAGCTGTCTTCTGGCTTCCCCAAGCGCCCAGGGTGCCGTCTGGATGCCCCGGCCCAGGTGCCCCAGAACTCGAGGGCCTGCGTGGACCCAGGACGTGGGGTCAGGGCCAAAAAGGTCGCCAGCGGCCGCAGCACAGCCTCACCCTACCTGGCGTGCCCAGCTCTGGCACGGAGAGAATCGGAGCAGAGCAGGAGGGGCGCGGGGCTCCGGATCCCGCTCGCTGGCTCGCTCACCGGCTCTGCGCCTGCCGCCCGCCCGCCTAGCCGCTTTCAACCGCGGCCGCCCCGCCCCCGGCCCCTCCTCCGGTCCTCCCAGCCCAGCCTCCGCCTCCCTTCGGACCCCGACGCTGCTCCCTGCTCTTCTGGGGTCCTGGAGCTGTCCATCGCATGGTGCTGAAACCCTGGGCGCTCCAGTTCTGCCCTGGAGCAGGTGCCTCACAGGTCCCTTCACCCCACAGCCAACCCACGCTGCATCCCAGAAAAGCGGCGGGAAAAGAGCACGGGACAGGGATGGGGAGGTCACTGAACCACGAGAATGAGCTTAATGCTGAGGACCATCTGTAAGAGGAGGAACTGGACCCAGGGTCTCAAGCTGACATCAAGGGGACAGGTAAAGGGGCACTAGGGAGGTAAGTGGCTCTGGCCTGTTGCAGCAAGTCTGTCCCTGTTCTCATCCTTTCTCTCCACCCAGCAACTACAACTCAGGCCACACATCTGAGCCATTGTGAGAGTCAGGACCTTAGGCACTAAGAGAAAGATGCAGGTCTTCCTGAAGATGAACTTTAAGGACGCTACCCCTCCACCCTCGAGTGCCTGCTCCAATGTACAAAGGGCATTGATTGCAGAGAGAGCACTTCTGGACGCATCAAGGCCAGGCACTAGGGTCATTCCTGAAGGATCCGCTGGGCTGACACGGATCTGAGAGAGAAGGGGGCAGAGGAAAGGCTCCCGGAACTGACTGCTGCGTAGGAGGGAGGAAGCGCTGCAGCCCAAGCAGAGGGAGGACAGCTCTGAGATGCTCTTGACTCTTCCCTCCCACAGGGTGGCTAAGGACCACCCTGGATAGGGGTGGTGGATAAACTGCAAAGCCAGTCCAAGCTGAAGAATGTGGGGCTCAGATCGAGCTCAGATTGAGCCCCAGACCTGTGTTATCTACCCCCAGTTGTACACTCACTAATGAATGCTGAAGGGCATAATATCCCTTCATGTTCCCGGTGCTGCTCTTTTCTCCACAGGTGTCAGTGGAAGCAGGATCAGCAGAGAGAGGTGCTGATGAAAACACCAGGTCCAGGCTCCTCAGGGCCACATATCCAAATGTATGCAGGATCACAAGGACAGGCTTTCCCCCTGGACATGGAAGCTAAATGCTGTTCCACTAATCTCTGAAGAACACAGCTTTGAAACAAAACAGACACTTCAAAAAAAATTACAAAACCAATCACTAATAGGAGATGAGGTGGCATCGGGATGAGGGTTCAGAGCTGTCAGACAAAGCTGGAGAGACCGACAGGCTGTCTTCCAGATCCATCTCTGCCACCAACTGCTATCACCCTCTGGCTGGCTCCGATCAACTGCTCCCCAGGGCAGGTGAGTGATGGGCCAGGCTTTGGATCAGTGGGGTTCACAGCAGAAGGGTACTAAGGTGAGAAAAGCTGCACAGCAATCAGAGTCACACAACCCACCCACTCACCAAACAGCTTCACAGACACTAGGCTTTACACAGACATGGCTACATGCTGCAGCAGCATAGGGAGCTTGCAGTAATGAGCTGCACTGTCCCACTGCATCCACAGATAGGCAGTGACACACAGACAGGTAGCCGCCATTTCTAGCTGGGCACACAGACAAGGACAGACATCCAAGCTGGGTGTGATGGTGCACCCCTGTGATCCTAGCATTTGGGAAGCTAAGATGGGAAGATCATTGTGACTTTGAGGCCAGTTTAAGATACATAGTGAGAGTTCCAGACCAGCCTAAACTGCACAGCAAGACTCAAAAACAAATACATACACCCAGTTCTGCACACATAGCTTGTACAGGTGGACAGGGTGACACACACAATTATATAGGCAAACACAGTCATAATACATTGCTGTACAGGTGTACACTCCCCTACACAGCTGTACATATAGACACAGCCATGTACATACAGCTGTACACATGGACATGGCCACAGTCATAGCAGCACAGTCACGCCCCCACATTCACAATTGTGATCATGGACATATAGGTGTACAGACCCACAGCTTTATCCATGGATACACAGAAAAAACCTATGCTTTTACAATTCAACATATGACCATACACTGTATACAGACAGGATCCCAGAGATGCTTGCAGCCAGCCAGCCTCTCACATCCCTAGCATGCAACCCATACCATTAAACACACAAAGTACAGCACCATGACATAGCCACACAACCATCTACACACATGCAGCCACACCCAGGGACGAACACTGTGTGTGTGTGTGTGTGTGTGTGTGTGTGTGGTGCCAAGGATTGAACCCAGAGCCTATGCACTAAGCTACACCCCTGGCCCTTTAAAAAGTTTTATTTTGAGACAGAATTTTACTAAGTCACTCAGTTTACCACACTGGGCTTGACCTTGTGATCCTCCTGCCTTACCCTCCCACAGTGATGTGTTACAGGCAGGAGTCACCATGCCTGAACAGAGTCATATCTTGATGTTCACTTGGGCACACTCACCCAGGAACATCAGCAGCAGACCTATCTGCGCTTAGATATACACACCGAGCTTAAAGGCACTGGCCAACGCAGCAGGGTCTCTTCACCTGCTGGAGAGACCCCAGCCTGGGCACAGGCACACTTGAGCCATGAACACACAAAGGTACCCTTGGAGCAGACAAAGGCAAGCTGTGAGCTCTCCACTGCCGAGCCCTGGAGGGCACACTGTGCTTAGCTCTCGCACTCCTTGCTCTGCTTCTCCCCAGCCTACAGGAGCCCAGAAGGCAGTTGCATTGCAGGGGTTTCTGTCCTTTAGGGTCACAGAACAGGGAGTGAAGGACTTCCAATATTCCCCCTCCCCTCAATCCAGGGACCCACCCCTCTCCTTGTGCTTGGGAAGCTTCTGCCTCTCCATAGCCTGTCTACACAAGGCTCCCCAACACAGAACTAACAAATAAACACACAACTCAAATCAAGATGAAACAAGAAAATCATTTGTTTTATTCTGGATTCTGGAAGCTCCAATGTGAGACTGAATAAAGACAATGGTGGTGGCTGATACAAATAACAGTCCCTGGCTCCTTTGGCCCCGTAAGCCAAAAGGGCAATGAGGAAAAGGCTACTCTAGAGGCCTGGGGTGGGAGAGGTGAGACCCCCACAGACCCCCAGACCAGTCTGGGAAAGGAAAGGAGAAGAGGGCTACAGAGCTTGCCCAGTTCCATAACTACTGTACCACAGGAGGGTGCAGGTCACAGCCTGCACCTCACCCTTCTCAGAGGTTCTGAGGTCCTGAAGTGGCCCCCAGTGGTTTGGCCTCAGGTTCCAGTCGGGGCTCCCCAACAGGCCCCTCTCCCTCCAGATCGAGCTCCTCAAAGGAGGAGCCGCTGGCGCCTGACTCGCTGTAACTGTGCTCGCTGCGGTTATCACTGTCATCCCAGCCTCGGCCGCCTGCCCCAGGGGACAGCGTGGTGGCTGAAGTCTCCCGGCTGCCAGGGCTCACCTCCAGGCTTACAGAACTCGTGTCACTCATCGTGTCAGCTCCTGTGGCCAGGACAAGGGAGCACAAGTTAGCCAGGACCATTCCACACACCCCTGACCCATGGTCCCCTCTTCCAGAGAGAGGGCAGGGAGTCTTCCATCAGCTCGGTACCTGAGGGTACACAGCCTGCTCATGAATAATACACCATGGCTCGGGAGGCCCATTCCAGCTGCCCTCTGCCCTTTCCGGGGGCTGCACTGACAGGGTTGAGGGAGGGAGTGGGGAGAGAGGGTGAGAGAGGGAACAGCTGGTTGTGTACTCCCTTCCTTTTCCTGAATTATCCTCAGTTCCTTGCACTCCCACAAAGCTGTTACCCCTGGCCTAATCCATTAAGGGCTACTCAGCCCCAGGGTGAGGAGCTGAGGGTAGAACAAAAACCACTGGAAGTGTCCCCTCCACCCCTTGTTTCAGGCTTGGAAAGAGGTTTGCCAAAGCCAGCTACAGAACATTGCCCATTAGGTATGAGGTCCCAAGAATGGGCCAGGAGGCCTCTCCAGTTTCCACCCCCATGCAAGCCTCTCAAAGGAACAGCTATATCCTGGAAGTCAGCTGGCCCCTCTCACCATGACTCTCTGCTTAAGGGGGGGTCTAGGCACAAAGATAGAAAAATCTTAGCCAACACTTAACCAGTCACAACAAAAATGGGTTCCTGGATGAAAAATCTTAAAAGTCTTCTCCCCCTGTGCCTTGGTCAACCCAGAGGGACCTTTAACTCACTTCAATAACCCTCTCCCCAGCCACTGTTGTTTCCTGCACTACAAGGCAGCAAAAGGGGACCTGGTGGGTGAGGAGCCCCAAAATACTACTGAGCCAGCTGATGGTCCAAGTCCCTCCCTAACCTGCTTCTCTAACCCAGTATATTCTCTAAGGATGTGACCCTTTAACTTCCCTAACTAGGAGCAATACCTTCATCCATCTCTATAAATCAGAGGACTGAATACAGTTACAAGGTAACAAGGAAGAACAAAGAGCTCAAGCCCACAGTGTGTCACCCTTCCTGTGGCATACCATGCAAGGTGAGGGATGGACCAGATTCCCCAGCTCCTGTTTCCATGGTGATATAGCCCAAAGCCAGACACATCTAGGGACTGCTTTGTATCTGGACTGGCTTGGAGCTGTCCCTAAACCTTGGCTGGAGGCTATATTGAAAATGAAGGAATTTGGGGCCTGCTCTCCCAACCTACTTAGTCTAGAAGATGCCTTCTTAGGCCTTGCTGGCAGAGTGAGGTGAGTCCTGAAAATGCCAGCCTCTGTCCAAAGCCCTTTTGCCGCTGGGACCCGGGGCACAGTCTAACATACAGGGATACTAACAAGAGTGCAGTGGAAACCCAGTCTGAGCTCCCAGAGCAAGGCCCCAGCTCCTCACTCAAAGATCAGTGTCCCAGAGGCTGCGGAACTAAAGGTACAAGAAGGGGCGCAGTTTTTCCCTGGGCCAATAACCGCCAACTTCTGTCTGCTACCCACTCACTGACTCTAGAGACCTCTACTTCCCAGCTGGATGCCTCCTTGACCACTCCTGAGCTAGAAGTGATTAGAGGAAGAAGCCCCACGGTACCTCCTTTAGCCCAGGGCTCAGCATCTGGGAGGGACAGCCCCTGGGAATATATAAACATTTATGATGAAGAAACTAAAGGCAGGGGAGTGGCATCCCCATGGCCCCACAAAGGACACACAGCAGGAAGGCCCAGTGCCCTGAACCTTATCCCTAAGGAGAGGACACCAGCCATGACAAGGCAGCACCTAAATCCCCAGGGCTGCTGGCCAGGGGATGTGAAGCTACCACTTCACCCCAGTTCCTCCCCCTCTGCCCACAGTCAGTGCAAGGAGATCAAATATTCATTGCCTCTCTGGAGTTAAATAATACATCAATGTAATAACAGACACAAGGCAGCTAATCACCCCCTTTCACCTTCCAACCCAAGCCACAGCCCAGCAGGAAGGCAGGCAGTGACAGCCCAAGCCTTGGGTGGCCATGTACCCACTATACATGCTAAGTGGCATGCACCTGGCAGGATAACCCAGAGTCCGCCCCGGGTGTCAAGACAGGCCCTGTCAAGGGTGGATAGACCTTTAGTCCTTACACTGGGGAGTGGGTGGGCAGGCTGATGGGGAGGCAGGCCAGGGAACTAGAGGCTATGGGAGCTGCAGCTGCAGCCAGCTCCAGCAGGTGCTCAGCAGTCCTTCAAAATTACACGCAGGGATGCTTGGAAAGGAAGAAAACTGTGGGTGGATCAAGGAGGGAGTAGTCAGGCAACAGAGGGAGGTCACAGAAGGTCAAGGTACTCCTCGGTCCTGTCCTGGGGGCTGCCTAGGTCTGCTGACCTTGTGTCATGTCCTGTGTCCACAGTAAGAGCACTGAAGAGTATCTGCCAGGCACTACTAAGCAGAAGGGGCCAGTACCCCATGGAGGTAATTAAAGTAGCAGATGAAGTTAACTGTGTTGGACACAAGCCCCTAGGGAGCGCAGACTGCCTCCTAGCACCCTTCCCCCACCAGCCCTTGCCAACACATGTCTCTCTAGGGTGACCTTGGCCGTTGAAGACTAGATGGCAGAAAGTCTCCCAGAGACAGAGAGGGAAAGGATCAGTCTGTCCCCTCACAGCTCTGTCCCACTCTTAGAAATCATGCACTTCCAGAGTCACAGAGTCTCTATCCGGAACAGCCAAAGACTGTTTCAGAGACAACTTGGAACAGCCTGGAGTCACAAAAAAGTTATAGTTGGGGATGGGCTAGGCGCAGGCAAGTAACTGGCTGGCCTAGACCTGGGGCACCGTGGCTGCCAGCAGGTACACAGGCTGGCCTTGGAGACAGAAGTAGGAGAAAGCAGCTGGCGCTGGCAGGGTTCTACAGTGACGCACAGGAGAACACCTTGTTTCGTTTCCCTCCTTATCTTACAGATCCAGTATTACTTCCTGCTGAGATTCAGACCCCTCCCAGGAGCATCTGCAATCTGTGCTTCCAAGGGTACCTTTGACACATCTAGAGGGATTCCAGACAGGGGCTTTATGGATCTGTGTTGCCAAGATGAACGTGTGAAACCATACCTGCGCAGAACCATGTGTCTGGGAACAGATAACTCTTTATGTGAGTCTTGGGACAGGAGTATCTCTTTCTTCCCTCTGTCAAGCATGCCAGACACTCAACAGTGCCAACACAGACAGAGAAGCCTCCTCACCATGCCCTCAGATATCCACAAGAGGGGCTCCAAGGCAGGGCCCTCCCTTCACTTCCCCATTGTATACCTGTACCATCCACTTGGGTATCACTGGCCTCCACAAGACCCCGGCATTTCCACTCTGTCTCCTTCACCTCTGGCACATAGAAGTCTCCCTGCCGTGCCAGTGGACACATGAAATGGATCTGGTCTTGCTGGTAGATCTCTAGCCGAGGGTGAGCACACAGCTTCCGTTCCTAGTCAGAGAGTCGGAAAAAGTGGAATAAGCCCTACAGGACCCCCAACCCACGTGTCCCTGGATGGCTATAGTCTATTGTCTAATCTTTCCCAAGGGGCTGGCTGGTCCTCCCCGCAATCTCTTCCAAGTTTAAAACCCCTACTGAGGGTGGCATCTGCAAAGCCTCACTAAGAGCGGGGTCCTACCTCTAGGATATAGAGGTTTAAGGATGCAGGAATCCTTAACCCTTTAGGACAGTTGCTAAAAGAACCAGAGTCTAGCACTGCTAATTATGCATGTAAGCTGGTCTCACAGAGCTACAAAGCTTAGAATATTTAGACACTCAGGACAGGAGGTGTTCCATGAACCCCCAAGGCACCGAAGTCCAAGTCTAACCTGTCAGACTTTCCAGCCCCGAATCCCATCCTGCCTTTGACATCTTCTTTACCCTGGACAATATCAACTAAAACAGAAATAACAGTTGAGGCAGTAGCTCCCACTCTGGGATCTCTCCAGCCTCTGTCAGCAGACACATTACCACAGACCCTACTTGTGCTCCCATTGCCCTGCTAGGTCTATGCTCCCTACTGGAGCCATGTCAGCCTCGGAGACTATCAGCTGTGGTTCCCATACCTTCTCATAGTGCCAGGGGTTCAAACAAGGGAGAGGAGGCGAGCTGGAGGAGCAGGCACACACCACTGGGCTGAAATACCCGCTTCTAGAGCCCCAAGCTCAGAAGGCATTTCACTCCCCTCTGCCTGGACACAGGGCCCAGTGTTCCCTGTTCCCCAGAGTGTAAAATCAGGCAGACACACCAGAGCCGTGCTAAGGCAGACAAAAAGATGAGAACAAGGGTCAAGAGTCTCTTGCTCCAGAGCCTACCCCAGCTTTCCTTTGATAGCGTGCAATTACCGACCAAGATGCCTATAAGGTCCCTGCCCTGTTACTGCTCACCCGCCAACCTTCACAACATGGCTATTTATAACACCTGCCAGCTCTCACCATGAGCTCTGAAATGAGCCTTCCACTTAACAGTAATGAGAGACTTATTGCCCGGCTTGGAGAAGCCACTCCAGGACTCCGCTTGTCGGCCTGCCTGGCCAACTGGAGGGTTGAAGAACCTCTTCTAATTAATGTCAGAGAAGAGGGGGATATAAATGAACCTTCTTAGGAACAAGAAAAAGATGAGGAAACCAAAAAGGCAAATCCAGCTAGGACCCTCAGTGCCAGCTGGAGGGAAGGTACACCCAGAAAGTCACATAACCTGGCCCAGGGCAGCTGCAGCTCAGCCTCCAACTCCATGGGTGACCCAGGCAAAGCCTTATGTCCTACATCTCCATGCAGTCAACCACAGAGGGCAATACCCTGGACCTGGTGCCTCCAAGGTCAGTGAAGGAAAGCTGTTTTATAGTTGGAGTCCATTTCTGCCAACTGGTTGCTATGGGCCCCTCCAGCTTGAGTCCATGCCCCAACTCTTGCCATCTCTAAATACACTTTTACTGTTTTTGATGCTGTCTTGCTCCTCAACCCACATGTATATCCACCACAGCCTTTATCGGAGACTGATAAAATCAATACCAGAACACAAAAAGTTACCAGGCTCTGGAGGGTGGGCATCTGTCAAACCTCAACCCCATTCTGCACACTGGACCAGGTTACCAAGGCCAGGCTCCAGGAGATACTCTGAAGAAAGCCTCAGACTTTCCCTAGCAGTTAGAGGGAAGAAAAGGATTCCCAAATCCAGAAAGGGTATGACTTTCACCAGCATCCTCATGATCTGGCCATCTGAAGGATGCATATAGTACAGCAGCTGAGTGGCCAACAGCTATCTTAAGAGCTACTGACAGCTGGCTTTTAAGGACTCTCTCGAGACTAAAACCTATGCTCACCCAGAGATTCCAGGGACAACGGGGACCCTACTCCAGCCCCAACAACACTCCGACCACAGCCCTGACTTCCATCCGGGAGGAGCTTAGCAGTCATAGAGATGATAGTGGGTAGTCCTCTTTCTACCCTTCTCTTCTAGGCTGGGTATTAGGGTGTGCAGCACCAGGCATCCACCCTGTACCACCTGCTCTGTCAGCCCCCTCACTGGCAGGCAGGAGGCAACTCTGCGGCTGTTCTGCACATCTGCCTCCTCCAGAGAGCCTGGCTCTGAAGCTGCCTAGCTGTGGACAGCCCTGTTGCCATGGAAACTGCATCCTCCATCCTTGCCATTGCCTTCATCTCAAAGCCATCAGGGAGAACAGAGGAATGGGGGTTACAGAGGCTGAAGAGAAAACTGTGGCCTGGCTACACGACCCTTCCTGCTCTTTTCCCTTCCTCCCTGCCAGCTTCCTGAGGAGAAGCAGCTGCCCAGATCTGCTTCAGACCCAAACCCAGGCTAGTCCTAGGTTTGCCACCTGGGAACCCCTGGCCCTATCAGGGGGAAGCTTGAAGCGAATTAAAATCGCATTGACTATGCAACCCCAAATCATTATAGCGCACACCTGATCCTGTCAAAATGCAGACCAGGGCAGAGAATGGGGAATGGGGAATGAGGAAAGTAGAGTTGAATGTCCAACTTCAGCCCACAGGCAAGTAAAGGGGCTTACAGTTGATCTTATAGGCCTTCCCAGAAGACCCCCTCTTCCCTCCACGCTCTGCTCACTAAGCAGGAATGAGTCTATTGGGGGTTGGAGATAGAGAACAAGGGGGCAGGCCTGGCCATATGCCTTGTCCCCTGAGAGATCAGGCAGAGAGGACGCACTTTCCCTCTCAGCCAGGTGCAGCCTCTGGGGATAGAAAGGGGGGCTCTCAGGTCCTCATCGCACAACAGGAGCTACAGCCCGGGCAACGTGTCAATAAGCCAGTAAGTACGGAAAAATCATTGGAGGAAGGCGAGGCCAGCTGCCTCTTCCTCGGCTAGCCCCAGGGAGCCCTCAGAGAGTAGACTGCCAATGGCCAAGGACACCAGCTCAATGCCACATTGAGCTGGCCCTGGTGAATAAAGAAGCCTGAACTGCCTTCAGTAGTCCCAGCCCTAATAGACTTCCTTGGACCACCAAGACAGCCAGACACATGAGGAGGCATTGCCAGGACAGGGGTACTTGCTCTGCCCTGAGGCCACTGGTCATCTGACAAACCCACCACCTGAGGTTCACGTATGCACACAGCTCACACGGGCCATTAGGCCCTCTCTGAGGGGTAGAGATGCAATGGTTCCCTTAGAAAGTCTCTGAACTCAGAGGGAGAGGAAAAAGGAAAAGAGAGACCACTTCAACTATCATTATTTTGTTTTGCTCTCAGAACATCCGCCTGTGTCCTGGCTTGAGCTAGAGGTATGGATTGGGTGAAAGACAGAACAGGTCAGGACCATGCTGGATGCCAAGAGTGCATTTCACTCCCAGGATGCCCATGGGCTGGGTTTGCCCAGAGATAGATGGCAATGCCCAAAAGGAGGACATGGGTATGGGCCAAGAATGGGCACACATTTCCTACACAAGCTCTTGGCCCAGAAAAGGAAGAGGTTTGCCTGATGCATCCCCACCTCATCATAGCCCTTTACCTCCTGCCTCATAGGAATGAGAGGTGCTGAGCTCTCTTTGCTGCCTAGTCCTACCAATCCCTCTCTGCCAGGCTAGAGAGCCAGGCAGCCACACAACCAGCAAACAGCTGTTGCATCCCACCCAAGGTGGTGGCATCTCGCTGAATGAAGTGATGCATACTCATTTTTAATTATATAGACACCAACGTGCACCCGCCTGCACCCACCAGTCCCTGCAAGTGGGGGCTCAGACCCTGAAAGCCCCACAAGCAGCTGGCTGGCATCACATGTGCAAAGTGTTGGATGGGGTGGGGTGGTAGAGCATAGCAGGGAAGCTATGGATTGAATGCAGCAAGTTGTTATTATTCTACCCAGGAACTTCCATCAGCTGTCTTCTCTCTGGCTTCCTCTCATCTCCATCAGGACTCCCAACTGCCTCCTGGCCAGGAACATAAACCTGTCTGTGGGATGCTGGGGGTAAGGGTGGGGGGCCTGCAGAAAGACTAATGACTGTCCTCCCATGCTCCTTTCCCTCCTAGCAGCAAGGCCCAAAGCTCTAAAACAGGAAGCTCTGAAACTTAGCCTACCTATTGACAAATGAGTGGCTTCCCACTGAGCCTCAATTTCCTCAATAAAAGGAGTAGAAAGGATGATTTCCAATAAGTAGGGAGCTGGGAAGGATGAATAAAAATACCATTATTTAAAGATTCAAGAACTGTAGACTTGGAAAAATCAGAATGATGACGAAACTACCACAAACATTAAGTCACTGTCACCTAAAGCACAGCCCATTCTTCTGTGCACCAGTCACCAAATTAGAAACTATAATAGAAGCAAGAGATCAAGTGCCAGGTCTAGCCAAGGCTAGTCTGGGGACCCCCTAAATGGCAAGGGATGGCAAAGGAGCCAGGCAGGCAGGGCCAGACCTGGTCAGGAGCTTGGGGAAGACTGCAAAAGGGGAAGTGTGAACAGGGTGGGGAGGCGAGGTGCTGTGCCTAGCACCCCAGCCTGCTGTGCCTGCTGCTGCTGTTGCCTGAAGACTTTTCATTTTCACCTCAGAGTGAATTTACACCTCTGCTCATCTCCCTGGCAGCAACATAGGCCCTGGATTCCTGGGTGGCTCATGGTGGGGGGCCTCAGCAGCAGTGAAGCATCAGGATAGGCTGAAACACTGAGGAGCAGAGAGAATGACTCCCTCTGAGTAGGCACTCAAGAGGCAGGACCTCAGGGATCCTGGGGCCCAGGCAGACTAGAGAGCCCTGGCCCTGCACCCATGCTCAGCCTTTCCTTTCCTCAGGGCCCAGAGACTTGGGAGAACAGGCATGAGTAGCCCATGGGAAGCTCAGCCAGAGGTCTGGGGAGGCCAGATAAGAAACTCCAAAGTTATCCTTTCTAAATATGGGCACCCCTAAATGATGCCTTCCTGTGGCAGGCTGCATAGCTTACTCCATCTCTGAGATCCAACTATCTTTGCAGCATTTGTGCAACCAAGG